GCAAGGCAGGGTTCCAGGAATTTGTCTATCCAAGGCCATGTACCTTTTGTAAGTATGTTTTCTTCCTTTGTAAACACTAGGTAACTCTCTAGGGGGGTTCAATGATGGATCCACAGAAATTCCCCCAACAGCATTGACTGGTGAAGATGTGATGTGAAAAGTAAACTCTCTGTCTTAAAGATTTGAAATTTTTAGACGGTATACTTAAAAGGAACATGGGGGCATTTCACATTATAGAGTAAAATGTGGAGCGCTAGCGACAAATCAATATGCATTTCAACAGTCACTAGGAAATGTGCAGTGTGTGAGGGGCCTATTACATCTAATTCTTTTCAAATTCTTTTATTTAAAGATTTTACATTTATACTACAATATATATTCTTATAATATCTAGAATACAACAATAAGCGGAAATGAAACAATGGGAAGGGAAGGGGAATGGGCAAAAAACTAGAAAAGGCAAAATTAAAAGAAAATTAATTTGTACACAACCATGACCATTATTAGCGGTTTAAAACAGCTATTGAAAATAGATACCGTGGGGGCGGGGCCTGACAGCCAAGATGGCCGGCCGCACACGCTGAGAGCTCCTGCAGCTACAGACAAAAGAGTAACGATAACGAGCGTTCTGAAAGCGCTAGCGGCAGACGGTGACCGGCACCAAACACAGGAAGACACGAGCTACAAAAATATACCGGCCCAACACCGGAGCGCCGTGGAAAAAACGACATCGGCCATGCGGCCTACACCAGAGCGGGAACTGAGGTCTGGGGGAGGCGGACGATTCCCCGGCCCAGGACGCGCTCACAAGCGAGAGCACACCACAGCCCCGCTGCCCCCCCCCTCTGGACCGGTGGGGGACATCCCGGTCCTCGCTGGGGACGAATACCCCCAAATCGCTGACAGCCCAAGCGACAAACCTCTCATGCAACCAAGACCGCCAGGGCCTAGCCAAGATGGCGGCACAGAAGCGGACAAAAACAAGGCGTACACTCACTATACCACCAAAGCACATTCCGGAATTTTATGAACGGCTACGTACTTACCTCTGGAAGAAGCTTAATGCCCGGGGACAGCTCTTCAGGCGAGCCGTGAGAGAGATAGAGGCGTGGATCCGCCCGGCTACCCGGCGCTATCTGCAGGGGAATCTCCCTCACGCCTATGGAGCAGCCTCCCGACGGCAACGGAACCGCAGAACAGCAGGACGGGAAGCGGCGCCAAGCTCCCCAGACAACATCAATCATGCTCCCAGGCTTCAGAGCCGGACCCGCCGGCGCACACGACCTGCCTACCACTCAGCGGTCCCAGTAACAGCTCCACAGCAAAGCGCAAACCCGCGCAGGGCAACACACAAGGCTCATCGAGTCACCACTCTTGCTACAGCAGGGTTGCCAACCGGCGGACTAAACCGGCAAACAGCCCATCTACAGCCTCCCGGGAGGAGAACCTCCGGACCTTGGTTTTGCAGTGGGACTAGTGTGGTGCGAGTGGGAGTAGGGTGATCCACACAAGCGGGACTCTGTCTAATGCCACCCTTACCCCTCGCCATACCTGCCAACACAGCATGACAAGAGTCCTGAATACCTGCCATTGACAAAGTATCTGAATAATCTATTACACATGTAATTTGACATGTTTATTAGGCTGGTTTTACTTTTAAATTTCTCTCACATGAATAGCATGCCACCTTTATCGATAATGCTGGTGCCATAGTATGCTTAGTAACTGAAGCTAGAGAATGCCAACACAGCCCACCACAAAAGATAAGCTGAGGCAGCCTGCATTAACTAGAGATTCATGCTCCCTACTAACTACCTGCTTCACCTTACCCAGTGCTCAGATATGCGCAGCGAACAGGTCACATAGCCAAACGTGATTACCTAGCATGTTTCAATAACTGGCCAAATGATGTCACTAGCATTTTACAACTACATCACCTGAATTACAACTGTTGCTACTAGTCCAGTAAATCCGCTGACCGCTCCTGTTTGCATGAAATTTGATGAGGAATGATAAAATCCTATTAAGCATGGTTAAATCTAATTAAGCAGTTAGAAACCTGTACTAGATGTTGACATGCATAGCCTGTAGTATGACAACCACATAACAACCAAAGTGACTTAATCTTGTTTATATAAAAAATGTGCAATATGCCACATTACTGTTACCGCATGTTTCTTTTATGTTTGCACCAGCTGTCGTGGCAGTGCAAAACTGCTTGTTATTTCTATGCACGAATAAAATAAAGAATTAAAAAAAAAAAAAGAAAATAGATACCGTGACCCACGTGCATACATTTGATCTTATTCGAAGTGAGCGAAATCATAATATAGATAATAACTATTAAACCTCTTTATTGCATTAGTCAAATTATCCAAATCGAAGTCAGGACATCTCAGCTATGCTCTGTGAAGCCAACATCCTAAAACGTCATCCAATATAGAAGACTTTCCGTCAAAGGATGTCCTCTTTCTCCCCAATCCACATTTTCTACACAAAGGTCTAAGATCTGTTGTTTTAACCTGGTCAGAATTTCATGGGTAAACATGCATTTATCTAGCTAAACAATGAGGCTTTCTTTGACCTTAGCAAAGCTTCTTGTTGATTGGGATATAGCATTGTGCTAACTAGCACAAAACAAACGTTTACCAAAATTATACATTTCACACCCTTTTCAAGAGCCCCCACCAGAAAACAATGCTGAGTAAATTAGGTGTCTTTCTTTACATGCTTTCTTTAAAATACAAAGCTTCTTAAAGCAGTGTTATAAATGTTTTAAAATTCTAAAAACACAAAAGCATTTAATGAAAAATAAATTACATTAAACTGTCATCATGTTGGGGAAATCGATCTTTAAAAAAAAAAAAAAAAAAATAGAAGTCCTTATCTGGTTTTATCCTTCACATAACTAAATTTTTATTATTATTATTTTTTTCACTAACTGTCCACTGCTCTCATCGATCACTAGTTTTATGCAATATATTGCACTTCTTTTTAAAAACCAGGAGCTGAAAAAGAGACCCCATTCTTTAAAGTATTCTGGATAGTCGCAAGTCCTCAATCATCCTGATACGAGTGCAATCAATCCATGACATAACAGCCACATATCACAGAAAATTACTATTTTTAAAAATCAAAGTTCACCTCTCTAGCTGACACAAACTTTTCCCCTTAAATTGCTTAAAAGTGGATTGCCATTCTTTCACATTTCATAAACAACAGCCTGTCAGCTATAGTTGGTGATTTTACTCATCCTTTTCTGAAGTTAATCTTTAAAGCATTGATTTGATGAATGTGTTACAGAATACAAAACTAGACTAAGGTTCGCATGAGATATATCTTACTCTCCATTCACAAATACTCTGGTCCATCACATGTAAAAAAAAAAAAAAAAGATGGTTACCGATGTGTTTTTAAAATAAATTATTCCAGATCACATAGCGTGTTGTTACTGTGTATTGTAAATAGGCTTTGTGTGATTAAAATAACAGCTACGATTATTTTTACTGCAGTCAGATTTGAAGTGACTGCCAAATTCTGAGTAAGCAGAAAAACGAAGATATACCTTTTCAATACTGTTGCCGAAGACAGGTCAATTTCTGTCTAGCAGTAGATAACTCTAAGCAAGACTGGGACATTAATTATCTGAGCAGGCTTCATAATTGTTCTCTAGAAAAATAGATTTGGCTACATTATAGGTCCCTCGTCCTCGATTCATTGCAATATACATAGCATTTAATGACCAGCATGAAGCAAAAAAGTGTGTAGGAGTGTGCTGGACGTTTGTTTTTCATTTTATTTTTGATGAATGATGATGAAAGTGTCAGGTTTGGGATTTCTGAGTGGAGGTCACCTTACTGGTCCTAAGTTTCAGTGGTGGCAAAGGGTGAGGGGCAATTCAAAATAATTTTTACCCTGGTAGAAAACATATACATATGTCTGTGTGTTAAGGCTTTGCCTGGAGTTGTGAGAGGGGCATATGGGCATATATAAGGGACTCCCCGCTGGCCCACCTCACCGTCATTGGTCTGGCGATCTGCATGCCCCTCCCTCCACATCCTTTATTCATGATACTCTACCTGTGGGGGCACACTTTATTTACCGCATACGTCGGTTCCGGCACAAGAGCGCTGCACTTACCTGAACATGCATACATTATAAGGGTGCTGCTGGGGCCAAGTCGTATTTTTTTAAATATATATATATATATATATATATATATATATATATATATATATCTCAGCCAATTATCGGTTATTGGTTATAAATATCTAGGATTGAATAAGCCCTTCTCTTGCATAAGAAATGCATGCTTGAGTACAGAAAGTCATCTTGCTGAGTGAACAGCTAAGGTGGACATTGTTCTGGCCTTTTCCTCCCTCTGAGTTCTTCCCCTCTCTCTCCGCATCTTCCCACTGTTATTTAAGTCCATCCTTCCACTACACTCCTACAATTGCTGCTTCTTATCATCTTATTGCTTTTTTTATTTCTTTCTTCCACTGACTGGTCTTTATCTTTGCTTTTGATTTCTCTCTCTCTCAATACGTTCCGGCTCATTGTTCTTTCTCCTTACATTTTCCCTCCACCACTGAAATGGTTCTTTCACCCTCCTAATTGTTTTTGGAAAAAGGAGACCTGAGTTCTGGTGCCATAGATCAATCATTCCTGCTACCTTATGTTAGTATTGGCGTCCTACAACAAGTCAAAATTTGTGACATTTAGCAATAGAGAGAGCGATCTGTAAACCTTAATTATGCTTGCATAATGTCCCCCATCTGACTCCATATACTGAAGATCCATAAGGGGATAAAAAACTAGTCCCCATCAGTAATCTACTTCCTACTGTTCATGGGACATTGGAGAGCTAATAACAAACCTATATTTCTGCCTACCCCCAGCAGAATGTCAGAGAAAAAAACGTGAATATTTAAATTTCAGGTGTGGCAGCTACAGACTCCTTGAACCCACAGCGTCTGGGTGTATTTCTGCCTTTTTATTAACTCTGTATTACAAAGGTAGACAACCTTTGGCACTCCAGATTTTGTGGACTACATCTCCTATAAAGCTCTCACAGCCATAATGCTGGCAAAAGGATCATAGGAGGTCTAGTGCACATCATCTGGAGTGCCAAAGGTTGCCTACCCCTGCTATACTACAGTGGGGAAAAAAGTTTTTGATCCCCTGCTGACTTTTAACGTTTGTCCACTGACAAAGAAATGATCAGTCTATAATTTTAATGGTAAGTGTATTTTAACAGTGAGAGACAAAATAACAAAAAAAAAATCCAGAAAAACACGTCAAAAAAAGTTTGTCAATGAGTGAAATAAGTATTTGACCCCTTCGAAGGGTGGCAAAACCCTTGTTGGCAATTAGAGGCCAGACATTTTTTGTAGTTAGCCACCAGGTTTGCACACATCTCAGGTTCCACTCCTCTTTGCAGATCTTCTCCAAGTCATTAAGGTTTCGAGGCTGACGTTTGTCGACTCAAACCTTCAGCTCCCTCCACAGATTTTCTATGGGATTAAGGTCTGGAGACTGGCTAGGCCACTCCAGGACCTTAATGAGCTGCTTCTTGAGCCACTATTTTGTTGCCTTGGCTGTATGTTGTGGGTCATTGTAATGCTGGAATACCCATCCATGACCCATTTTCAATGTCCAATGGAGGAGCTTCTCACCCAAGATTTGACAGTACATGGCCCTGTCCATCGTCCCTTTGATGCGGTGCACTTGTACTGTCCCCTTAGCAGAAAAACACCCTAAAAGCATAATGCTTCCACCTCCATGTTTGACGGTGGGGATGGTGTTCTTGGGGTCATAGGCAGCATTCCTCCTCCTCCAAACACGGCGAGTTGAGTTGATGCCAAAGAGCTCGATTTTGGTCTCATCTGACCACAAAACTTTCACCCAGTTCTTCTCTAAATCATTCAGATGTTCATTGACAAACTTCAGACGGGCCTGTACATGTGCTTTCTTGAGCAGGGGGACCTTGCGAGCAGGCAGAATTTCAGTCCTTCACGGTGTAGTGTGTTACCAATTGTTTTCTTCGTGACTATGGTCCCAGCTGCCTTGAGATCATTAACAAGATCCTCCCGTGTAGTTCTGAGCTGATTTCTCACTGTTCTCATGCTCATTGAAACTCCACGAGGTGAGATCTTGCATGGAGCACTAGACCGAGGAAGACGGACAACTATTTTGTGTTTCTTCCATTTGCGAATTATCGCAGCAACTGTTGTCACCTTCTCACCAAGCTGCTTGGTGATAGTCTTGTAGCCCATTACAGCCTTGTGTAGATATACAATCTTGTCTCTGACATCCTTGGACAGCTCTTTGGTCTTGGCCATGGTGGAGAGTTTGGAATCTGATTGATTGCTTCTGTGGACAGGTGTCTTTTATACAGGTAACGAGCTGAGATTAGGAGCACTCCCTTTAAAAGAGTGCTCCTAATCTCAGCTCGTTACCTGTATAAAAGACACTTGGGAGCCAGAAATCTTGCTGATTGATAGGGGATCAAATACTTTATCACTCGTTGACATGCACACAATTTATAACTTTTTTGACATGCGTTTTTCTGGATTTTCTTTTTTTTTTTTTGTTATTGTGTCTCTCACTGTTAAAATACACGTACCATTAAAATTGTAGACTGATAATTTCTTTGTCAGTGGGCAAACGTTCAAAATCAGCAGGGGATCAAATACTTTTTTCCCCCTCACTGTATATGAATGAAGAATCGTTATACTCGACACAAGTTACACAGGCTGTAGCTGTTGCAAGACTTGGTTACTGAGAACTGCAATGACGTTGCAGAACCTACTGTGCATAACATGATCTTTCCCATTGTAAGTGTCTTTATGAACTTGGCTCATGCCGTTCCTGGAAGTATTTTTTGTTTTGACTAAGCTTTTGTAATCTGTGATTAGCGGAGACCGGGTATCAGGCTTGACAATTAGAAGAGTTATTTGGCAAACACTGAGAACATTTACACAGTCTACTTTAATTACATATATTTTCTGCCTTGTAATACATTAGCAAATATTCATTTTAACAAGAATCACAATTTTCTTTTCACTCTTTTGTTTGCTATTATTTAGTGTTAACAAAGTCATTTATATTACTAAAAATATAAGTTTTGAACCAAATATATGAATATGAAATATGAAACCTCCAGCTTTAGAAATAAATACATGCATCTCTAATGCTGGAGTTTTCTATGTTTTTATTAAATTTAGATCTCTTCCCTCCTCCCATGCCCCTTTTGGCACAATATCCTTTCCTCTGCAATGGGAGACCACTGCCGTTTAGGAGTTATATCACTTTTGCTTCTGTTTATGCAGCCCTTGTCGCACCTCCCCTGGCCGTGACTTACACGAAAAATATGCTTTAATTGATATGGTTTCATTTTCAATCAGCTGTAACTTCAAAAGTTTTTATCTCCTGCTCTGTAAATTTGAACTTTAATCACATACAGCAGGCTCCTGTAAAGTCTAGCAAGCTATTAACAGAGCATGAGATAAAAAAAAATCTAAATTAAACAGAATTTGCAATACAGGAAGTGTAAACATTTGATGTCTCTTTACAGGAAGTGTTTAGGAAGGTTGTGTAAGTCTCATGCAGAGAGGTGTGACTAAGGTGCATAAAAAAAGTGATTTAACTCCTAAATGACAGAGAATTGAGCAGTGAGACTGCATGGGTATGATCTATACAAAAACTGCTTCAAGCCAAAGTTGTTTTGGTGACTATAGTGTCCCTTTAAGTATGAGAAAACATCCAATGGTCAGAACCAACCTTTGTAAATCTTTGTCTCCACTGGCATCAATGAGTTTCAAATGGAACCATCAGTTCACTGGAATTTACACTACTGATTAAAACATTGAAAAACACACATTGTGTTAATAATCTCTTTTCATGTGATGTTCCATTGAAAGTAAACATTGCTTTTTAATGGGCAATCTAATAGACTGTAACCTAGGAATTTGGTATATAATATATATATACCTTAAGTGGAGCACTATAAATGTTGAGGAATTACCTCACTGGGTCTTGATTGGGTTGTATATGTCACATACAGATATGGAAGATAAAAATATATAATATAGTGCAGATTGTAAAACACTTGTGCAATTTCAAATGAGGCAGATAAATGGATCACTCACATTTTCCAGAGCCTATGTTTTGGCTCTGTAAATTGGACCGGTATGCTTTTTAGGGCAGCATCCCACCATTATTTCCTGCTGAAACTTTTCTTCGGGAAGATAAAAACAATGGAACATGCAATGTGTAGTATAGTCAATTCACTAATATTTCTGATAGAATGTTAATAGGTATTATGCTGTTATAAAGCCTTAAAATCCTGGCTCTGAGGGTGGTAGGCTTTGTGCCACCGTAAGGGGTTGGCACTTCCCCAAATGAAGGTACTTGAGGCTTCTATGGGCTTAGTAGAAAATTTAATATATTTATTATACAAATATGCTAAAAAGTAAATAAAAATGAAATACAATGATTAAGATAAAAAGTCCTGGTTGTCGATATGCGTTTCACTCCTCCTGGTGCTTCCTCAGTCAGCTGTGTTTTGAATCTAATAGACTGAGCTAAAATGGAGGCAGTCCGTTCTATTACAGGAATAAATACAGTGGTGTGGACATCAACATTTAAATGTTTAGACCTACACCCAGGTTGTTGTTGCTGTTAAATATAGGGGCTAAGTAAATAAAAATACATATATAAATCCTGGTAAGTGATAAACCCTTATAGAAAGGTCAAGGATAACTAAAACGGCATGCAGATTTCCTGTAAAAATAATAAGGGTTAATCTTCCAATGAATTAGGGAATCCTGCACAATTTTTACCTTTAATCCAAGGTTTCAGTTTCTGTCAGGAATCCGTGTTATATTCGTACAATTAACATTTAACATGCGCATGATTGCAACTAGATTAAATATCATGAGTCTTAAATATTAATATGCCTTTAATTAAAAGTTTAAGGACAGCAAAATGTTTATCATCACCATTAAATAACAGGCAGGCTTCGCCATATGATAGTCTATAGCTATAAGTAAAAAGATTAAACTACATGAATAATGCATTTCTGTGTTTCTTGACATTAAATATCTAAAACTTTCTAGTACTGAGACTGCACTCCTATTCTGTGAGTAAAGATTAAACGAAGGGAAGAAAAGGACGTGGAGATTATTGTAAAAATGGATTAAAAGCATAGAGGCTGTCACTTTTGCCTTGTGGTTTGGCTATCTCAAGGTTTTTTTTTAGCAAGTACTTGCATTAGTGAATTTTCAGAGATCCTTAGAGGGATAACTGAACTTGGTTGAATGACCTCACTAGCTGTTGGAAATCTGTGAATGCGTATATTTAAACGTTCTCTGTTTTACAAACCTAGGAAGAAGAAAGATGTAGTGTGAGATGGTCAGCAATTAAAAACAAGCGCTAGAAATGACGGTTTAGAGCAAATATTAACTGTAGGCAGCAATAAACATTGTGGAATGATGAGTATCCAATGTTTGAATTAAATCAAACACAACACTAAGAATGCGTCAGTTATTTATTAACTTATTTTCTGTGTTTTTTTCCTATGGATTCTTTTTTTGCCTCATATAGGGTTATTCGTTAAAGCGGGAACACAAGTAATTATGCCACATGTCAAATTGTGTTAAATTTATTGTTTTTTTAAATGTAATATACAGGGATATTTACTAACTTGAGAATTCAAGGTGAATGTGAAGTGAATTTAAAATGTTAAGGTCATGCTTTCCATGCAGCTACTCTGGTCTTAAATTTCAAATTCATTTTACATTTTCCCGTTAGTAAATAAACAACCCTGAGTGTATTCTGATTTAACGATACTTCCATCCATCTTGTAATGTCTGCCATTTTTGTTCCAGGAAACTTTGGAATCTGAAGATGAAACAACCTAAATCTAGGTAATTAAAGAAAATGTATGACTTTTACAGACTACTAAGCAGTAAGAAAATCACTTCTACATTCTCTTGTATGATAAGAAACCACTACTGCCATCAAAATATATTGTAATGACAATTTATAAAAACAAAACCACAACGTATCTAATCAGACCTGAGATTATATTCTGGCATTGAACCATTTATGCACACAAGAATATTTTTCATGCAAGAGAAAACGTTGCCATGCAA